TTCGAAATCGTGGAAATCAACAAAATTTGACCTTTGATGAACCCTGGTGACCTGACCTGTGCCCTGACCTTAAAATGAACGAGTGATTTACTCCTTATTTTTGACGCTCTTTCGATTGTCGCTTACCGCGTGTCGCTACGTGGCCCAGGAGCCGAGTTAGACGGAGGGGCGTAAAACGCCCCCCCCCCCCTCCCAGCACTCGATGGAAAGTTCATGCCACCAACACGGCGCGGGTTAATTGTTCATGTTAGCTAGCTCCTGTTGTAAGCTGTGGAGTCGTGGGCCTGATCTTGAAGGAACTGGGCCTAGCATTTTCATAGCAAACGTAAAAAATGTTTAATAGGTTGTGCAAAATAAATAGCATCTTTTATGAAACATTTGCCAAGCCTTCAACATCATCCCCAGACCCCATTAGTGCCGAGCTCCCAACGACGACCATAAAAGCGTCCCCATCCCGTCGTAGGCGGCGGAATGGGGAAGGCACCGGGGCACCGTACCCCCCTTTGATTTTGGCATTTCAACATTAGCCCTATGAGCGTTGCATGGAAATAATAGGACCAAAAGTCGGCAGAGCCCCCCCCCCCCTTAATTGAAGGTGTTCCGCCGCTACTGCATCCCGTCCGAACGTGGGTTTATCACAAGGAAGCTAAGATTTAATTTCCAATCCGAAGCTGTAATGATGGAAAGCAAATTTGCATTTACATGTGAAACAAGCTGACACAACTAAATATTTCCTCTCTCGCTCCCTCTCACTGATTTACCCATTGCCCTCTTTCTCATTTTACCCTCTCTGGTTTTTCTTTTCAGTTTTCTCTCTCTCTCTCTCTCTCTCTCTCTTCTCTCCTCCCGTCCTTATCCCTTCCCTCCAGTCTTTCTTAGCTCCCTCTCTCTCTCACTTTCTCTCTCTCTCTCTCTCTCTCTCTCTCTCTCTCTCTCTCTCTCTCTCTCTCTCTCTCTCTCTCGCTCGCTCTCTCTCGCTCTCTCTCTCTCTCTCTCTCTCTCTCCTCTCTCTCTCTCTCTCTCTCTCTCTCTCTCTCTCTCTCCTCATCTCTCTCTCTCTCTCTCTCTCTCTCTCTCTCTGTCTGTCTCCCCTCTCTCTCTCTCTCTTTCTCCTCTCTCTCTTTCTCTCTCTCCTCTCTCTCTCTCTTTCTCTCTCTCTCTCTCCTCTCTCTCTTTCTCTCTCTCCTCTCTCTCCCTCTCCATCTCCCTCTCTCTCATCTCTCTTTCTCTCTCTCTCCCTCCATCTCCCTCTCTCTCTCTTTCTCTCTCTCTCTCTCTCTCTCTCTCTCTCTCTGTCTCTCTCTCTCTCTCTGTCTCTCTCTCTCTCTCTCTCTCTCTCTCTCTCTCTCTCTCTCTCTCTCTCTCTCTCTCTCTCTCTCTCTCTCTCTCTCTCTCTCTTTCCTCACAATATTCTCGACTGTCACAGCGTTGTAGGGCTTGTTTCCAGACAGGCCCAGGCGCTCCCCACTCCGCAGTCCCTAGCCCACACGGCCCAACCGCTCAAACACCCTCCGGCGGATGACCTCTGACCTCGGCGACCTGACCCCAGCCGACCGATCGCGTCCCTCTCCACGCCTCCGCCCCGCTTCCCCCACTACAGCTGCGTAGTAATTGTAGCGTGTGCAAAGATCACGTGACATTATTTACTTCTGCGGCTTGTTCGGCTGACAAGAGATGGCACTAGTGGTCTGTGGATCAGAGGCGGGGCTAGGTTCTACGACTTCTTGGGGCACACTTTAGGGCAGAAAAGAGGTTTTTTGGCTCCCCATCCCAAAATGCTTCGAATATACAAAAACAAGTTAGATATTCGAAAATCGGAGGACCAAACGGATCGTTTGACGTATCTTGCGCGACTGACAATTGATCGGTTTTCAAACTACTGAACAAAAACGAGGTGATTAGTAGCAAGTGCTGGTGACTGTACGTCTTGATTCCTTCAAAAATAAATATGTTAGCGGCGTTTGAAGTTTTGCAGTTTTTTTGAAACGAAAATGGCGTGACATGACGTCACTTGAACGTCATTTTCTCAAAAAGTATTCCGACGGATTTCGCTCAACTTTTCAGGGAACTTGTTAAATTTGATGTATGATAAGGTACTGAAAGTTTAACGTCGCTGGCGTAACGCGTTTAGAAGTTATTGGTGAAAAACGGAAGGAGGGCAGATTCTGCCCCCCCCCCCCCGCGGGGCGCGGGTTAACCCGCGAGTTGCTGGGGGGGGGGCGTTAAACGCCCCCACTTTTTTCGCCGGGCCATAGCATAAAAACGGCGCGCCGCAGGCGCGCCAAATTTTGGGTACCTGTAGGGAATTGATTGAAGTCTATTGTGACAAAGTTTCAAAAAAATTGGTCGGAATTTTTTTAGATATCGAGGTTTTAGTGACGTCATGATTTCTGAGTTTTCGACCAAAAACGGCATATGTTCAAAAAATCATATAAAATCACAAAATAGACATACAGACATGCCGTAAACGCCATTAGACTGCCAATACCATGATCAATCAAATGGCTATCTTCGATTATTGATTATCGTTCCGCATTTTCCATAATCTTGAACTGAATCTTGGCAATTTTTCGTGACTACTTTACGACCATGATACATGAATTTCTTAAATTGAACTTTTTTAGCCAAACACGTACACATATGATAAAATGAATGTCACTATCGTGTTCTACGCCTCAAATTACCTATTAAACATGTGTCACAGGCTGCGAATATCAGTTTTGATTTTCGGGGATATGTGCCTACCCGGTTGACCTGACCTTGACCCTGACCTATGCTTGACTGACCCCAACATGGAGCTGACACTCTTGTAGGCCTTATAAGATGGATTGTGCACCGTTTTGACAGAGTTTATGGCGAGAGGCGCCCATTGCGAAGTCCTGAAATCCATGCTGCTGAAAGCCCGATTTCAGGTGTTTGACCTGACCTTGACCCGACCTGTGACCTCAAAATTCAACTTTAAAGTACTCATCTGAAGCGTCTCGTCGCGCTCTTTCGTTTGCCGCCTCGTGCGTTTCGCTGCGCCTATTGGTTCTCGAGTTATCGGCTGGGGGCGTTTAACGCCCCCCCCCCCCCAGCAAACGGTGGGTGGCGAAATACCCCAGCAACTGCCGGGTTAAAGAGGCTATCTGATACCAACCTTTTGATATTATTCATGCTATGGTTATTTTCAGTTTAGAGAAATGTAGGTTTTAATCACAGTGTATATAAATAGTATTAATGTAGCCTTTCATTCTTCGTATGTCCCTCAATTCTTCGACAATTTTATGTCATTGCATTGCGATGGAAAGACTTAAAATATGATGTGTTGTATTTACATTGGATATAAAATTCCTTGAGATACAAACCTACTTTTGAGGTTTTTTCATTGAACAACAATTCATAGCCATTTTTCACTCAAAGCCCATTTCAATTGAATTGAAATGAGAATGGCCGGACGCTCGCGATGGTGGAAACCGGTCTGGACCTGAGCCAGAGTTGGTACTTGCTAGCTGCTGGCCGCTTATGACGGCAGCTTTGCGTCAGTACAAGCATAGTACAGCTCATTGGCTACCGCACTCTCTCACTTGACCGTTCTCCGTACCTGACAGTCCCTCTTAGTTGACTTTTCCCTTAGTCGACCATCTCCCAAGCCAACCGTTCCACCTGGAGTGGTCGATGGTCGTTTCCCCCAAGCCGACCCCTCAGCTGGCCGGGTCCCCCTGAGCCAGTACACGGTTCGTCGGAAGGTCATCTCAGGCTCAAAAGAAGCGATATATACCATTCGAAAGCTGACGGTGAGCTGAATCCAAAAATGTAATTTTTATCAAAATCGATCGATGGCCTTTTTTGAAAATTGCGTTTTTGTAAAAACTTTATAATTTTTTATTCAACGGGCTGTCCCGGACATTCTTGAAAACATAAACATGTATTTTTGAGTTCCAGTAAAAGCTGAACGCCTAAAGAACAATATTTAGCGAAGCAATATTTCCAAACATTAATATGCGTCTCCCACAGCCGACAATAAGGCGCAATTACACACCTCAGTGTCACGATGGACCAAAGTCAGCCACACAAAACCGTGAAATGACCCTTATCGACTCGCAGACCCGGCGCTCTCGGCCCGCCCGACCAGCCACGGAAAGAACGTTCGCCTCTCGTTCTACTAAACAAATGTCATATTTGTCAGTTTAACTGTCTACATTGCTATTAAAGTTATTCAGGATACCTGTGAAGAAAATGCATTGTTCTGCTTGATTTACAACATGCTTTAATTTACATTTTTCTTATACATGATTTGTTCCATCCAGCTGCGCTCATTGCCCGCGCCGGGGAAGTGAGCGGGGTTTCACCGTCAGAGGCTGTACTGGTGACAGCTGCTCGGCCGTGCGACCGGTCAAAGGTTACCCTGCCCCACCGGGCGCTACCCCCACTCTACCCGAGCTGAGGCCGGTACAACCTCTGACATTTCAGCGCGGCCAATTTTCCTTATATGGGCATGCCACCAAGCTCAATTGAGCAAAGTAGACATGAACAAATGCAAATTAATGCGTGATGTGAAGATGACAGAGCAATGAATCTTCTGCTCATGTATCCTGAATAACTCAAGTACCGACTTGAATCGTTAAACTAACAAATATGACGTCTGTTTAGTAGAACGACAGCCCAACCTCCTTGCCGTGGCCGGTCAGGCGGGCCGAGAGCGCCGGGTCTGCGAGTCGATAAGGGTCATTTCACGCTTCTGTGTGGCTGACTTTGGTCCATCGTGACACTGAGCTGTGTAATTGCGCCTTATTGTCGGCTGTGGGAGACGCATATTAATGTTTGGAAATATTGCTTCGCTAAATATTGTTCTTTAGGCGTTCAGCTTTTACTGGAACTCAAAAATACATGTTTATGTTTTCAAGAATGTCCGGGACAGCCCGTTGAATAAAAAATTATAAAGTTTTTACAAAAACGCAATTTTCAAAAAAGGCCATCGATCGATTTTGATAAAAATTACATTTTTGGATTCAGCTCACCGTCAGCTTTCGAATGGTATATATCGTTTCTTTTGAGCCTGAGATGACCTTCCGACGAACCGTGAGTAGAGGACGGTTCCCGGGGGATAATTCGCCGGTTCCTCAGCTGGCCGGCTCCTCTCGCAGCCAGTACAGGACGGTGCCCGAGTGCTGGGCGGCCGTGCCGTACACCCAGGGGCTGTGGCGGTAGGCGCGCTGCTCGGGCCGCGTCACCAGCGTGCCCCAGAAGGCGCCGGAGCGCCACTGGTCCGAGGTGGTCAGCAGCGGCTTCCCTCCGGCGTAGCCGCCAGCGTTCACCCATGGCAGCCGTTGCTGAGGGCGGGTCAGACGGTCAGACGGTCAGAGAGGCGTCGGAGGGACAGAGAACGGCCAGAGGAAGGTCGGGGAAACACAGAACGGACGGGGGCGGGTCGAGGGAACAGAGAGCGATCAGAGACAGGTCGGAGGGCTAAAAAACGGCGAGATACAGTCGGAGACTGGGAAGGGTCAGAGAGGGAGACAGGGAACGGCGGCTAGTGTCACGTCGGGGGGACAGAAAACGGTCAGAGGCGGTTCAGTGGACCAAGGGACGTCTGATCAAAGTCAGGAGGAGGAATAATGTCGTCCGGGACACCAAATACCTACAGATCCGAGTGTCATGACGGGGCAGAGAGCGCGTAGAACGGTCGGCGGTGCTACGTAGCTAAACACGAGTGTATCGGAACAAAATTATACAAGGAATACTATCCTAGGGGCTAGTCTGACACTACCGCTTACTTCTTGCACGCTAATATATGACGCCGCTTACTTCTTGCACGCTAATATATGACGCACTCGATCCCACATGGTTCATCTCAAACCGGTCCCACTAAGCTTATAGCCAACTATGCACCTGTATGCTGTTCATGTCGTACTTCCAGTTGTCGAAGCGGTCCTCCAGCCTCACGTCCGTCTGGTTGGTCAGCTGGTGGGTGAAGCTGTAGGAGCGAGGAGCTGACCAGATCCCTCCCCAGCGGCCGCGGCCCGACTGGGCCTGCGCCTCCAGCCTAAGAACGACAGAGCCGCCGGTGCAGTGAACCCACCTCGGCAAAACTCGGCGGTGAGCAAGTCGCACGAAAAGATGAGCTCCTATTGCAGGTAGGTATGTACATTGTACCTATGTAGATGGTTCAAATAATACTCGTTAGATGATGATGTTATTTGTGGCGTAGCATCATGGTTCATGTTTCTTACTATAAAACACTTGCTCCAGCTGATGTGTGCTCGATGTCCACTCCTTATGTCCCGGCCCCCGGGTATCGCGGCGCGACATTGGACTGACCTGTACTGAAACCTCGCGCCTTTGCCGGCCACCTTGAGTGAGTCGGCGTGCCGAAGGATGGAATAGTTGTGGTCGAGCGCCGGCCGGGCCGCCTCCCTCTCCGTCAGCGTGTCCAGGCTCCAGCCGTCCTGGGAGGCGGCCGTCAGCAGCAGCGTCCAGCCGCCGCCGTCCCGGCTCATGTCGCACAACACCGGCTCGGCCAGGCCGTGCAGGTGGTACATACCGTCCCTGCCCGGGGGTTAACAACGGTCAGTGGCGTACAACATCGGTCAGCGGCGCACAACACCGGTCAGATGGCGCACAACACCGGTCAGCGGCGTACAACATCGGTCAGCGGCTGACAACACCGGCTCGGCCAGGCCGTGCAGGTGGTACACACCGTTCCTGCCTCGGGGTAATAACCGGTCAGCGGCACACAACACCGGTCAGCGGCTGACAACACCGGCTCGGCCAGGCCGTGCAGGTGGTACACACTGTCCCTGTGATGGGTGGAGGGTTAACATCGGTCAGCGGCGCACAACACCGGCTCGACCAGGCCGTGCAGGATGGTACACACTGTCCCTTCGGGAGTAAACAATTAAACATTGGTCAGCGGCGCACAATACCGGATCGGCCAGGCCGTATAGGTGGTACGCACCGTCCCTACCCCGGGGTAATAACCGGTCAGCGGCTTCTCACGGCATGCACGCTAAACATCGTAAACATCCGCTCAAGGACTTCTACTGCAGACAACAGCTGGCCTGTGCTCACCGGGAGCTGGGCTTCTGACGCAGCAGCTGAAGGCAGGTGCGTGCGCACGTCTGCGCCACGCTGACGAAGTAGCCGGAGGCGGCGCCGCCGGCGCGGTCGCAGGTCTCGAGCTTCTCGAGGGGCCGGCAGTTGTCCGGCGCGCGGTAGTCGACCACCAGACAGTCGCGGCCCTCTGCGCAGGAGAGCGCGCACTGGCGCACGCTCTCGGCCGCTCCGCCGCCGCCATTGTCCTGAGATACCTGCGGTGTACCGGCGGTCCAGATGAACTTCACATGTCTTCACATCTAGGCACTGACCAAGCACTGACAATGTAGCGTTGCAGGTCCAGTGATTTTAGCCCTTTGTAATAGCTATGGTTTTAGTACTTAATTCTTTCCGGCATTGCATGAAAGTAACCCGATTTGCACATTCAATAAACTAATACGCTCACATCTCAACATTATGCTTTTATTGCTGGGTAGTATGCTTTCCATAGTCAAGCAGTGGTGCCATCCATCTACCACCTATCTAGCCCAGCTGTGACAGAGACCGACTGACCATTCTCGTCAGCTGCTGCACCCTATCATCCAGTGAGGCCAGCCGCTGCCGTATGAGCTGCAGCGTCTCCTGCAGGGGCTGCCCCGGCTCGGCGGCGGGGGCGCGGGGTCCGCCGCACCCCACCGTGGCGGCGGCCGCAGCCAGCAGCGCCAGCCGGTACAGCGGGCAGTGCAGCTGGAGAGACATGGCTGCCGACCGGTACCTGAGGCGTGGCCAACTTGATCAGCGGCGTGATGGCTGTTACTTGTTAGTGTCCATTGGTAACGCAGTACGCACGCACTGAGTGTAGCAGACTTATCATCACTATCATCTGAGGCTGGACTTGGAGGCATCAGTTATGGTTACGTCATTGATGATAAGTACCTATATGATACGATAGCCTCGAGAATCGAACGCAGGAACATCCGTGTTCTAAAGAATTCAACAAAATAGCAAGATACAAGATAACAAGAGCTTTGTTTCGCTACAAGCAGAAAACACTTTTTTCAAAACTATGTAGCTCAATGATGAATGAGGGACCGAAAGGCGGAGGTTCGGCCTACCCCTCGTACCTATACCTAAATTGGACGCTGTATATGTAAGTACGGACGGGGCTTAAATGCCCGAAAAAATGTTTTTATGTACCCATGGATAGCCCATAATATGATAAGTTTTGATTATATTACTTTTATTGGCTTCATTAAAGACCAAAATGTAACAAATGTCTTGCCTTGTTTTAAACGTCAAGCTCCAAGCGTTATGACTCTTGCCTGCGTACTGCGTAGGTATACTCCACTCCACTCCGGCTACTGTGTGGCCGTGCGATGCACCAGGCACAGGCCACAGACCACCGCGCCGGTCAGCCGTCAACAAGACCACTGCACGGACCGCAGACCACCGAACCGCGGTGCGACCGCCTGGCACCGTCGGCCGCCGCGCCCCCGGGCGACCGCAGCGGTCAGTTTATGTTCTGCGGACACGTGCCAGACAGCTGCGACCACTGCGGATCGACCAGGCCACTGACGCTGCACCCAAACAGTAAACGCCAGCAGCGGAGCGCCCGGAGGCAGTTGTTTACAGACGGGCTTCTCTTGTCTGAATATTTGCCCGATAGCTGTTTTAAGCGTCATTTCGCGTAATTTGCGAGGTGGGCGTTTAGCTTGACATGGGCTGCAGTGCATGTACAGACAATACACTGAAAACAATTTCACCCAAAACTGGCGAGTAAAACGGTGCCTCGCGGGTACCCCTATCCGCAACCCTAACCACCCTCCCAGGAGTCAATTTAGGACATAACACTTTCGCAATTCACTCTGGAGTGTAGCACGGGTGTAGGAGCGCCAAAAATATTGGTGAAGGATGCCACCTGAACCTTATGAAAAGGGACAGGACCGTGCCAACCAACACGCACAGTGCAAGCGAGGGGGGGGGGGCGAATTTCGCCAACCCCTTGTTTTTCGCAGATATCTTACGCCCTTATAATCCCATTAACGTCAAATTTTTAATGCCTGCCTAAAACTGAATTGTGCATCTTGCCATGACAGCAAGATGTAAATCAGGGCCTCGGCTAAGGAATTTTGACTACTGGGGCCAGGGGTGTCGTTTTCCGAAAATGATTGGTAGGGCCCAAAGGCGGCGGCCGGCCACATGTGGCGGGGCTTAAAATGTAGGGTACCCCCAAATCTGCCTTTCTCATCGGATTTCGGCCACTTATTTTTTCGCCCTGGTCATTGACAAGACAAACCAAAATCTAAAAAAAAAAAAACATTTTGGAAGTCTAGGTCCTCAACGAGCTCCATGCACAAAACGTGCAGTTAAATAGGCAGTTATAATATGTAGTGTCGGAGGAATGCACGCCATTCTGAAAGAGGCCCACGCCGACTTAAAAGCACGGCTGTGCTGAAAGGGGCCAGGGACGGTTTTGATGGCCCAAGCCGAATGAAAAAGACGGCTACGGGGCCAGGAACGGCTTTGAAGGCCCACGCCAATCGCAGGGTTCGACAACTAACGAGGTCTCGAAACACCACGATAGTTAGAAAGACCTGCTTGCCAAAATAAAAGGATGACGGTACAAGCCGGCATTCAGAAAGTTACATGCCCGACCATGAAGAAGCAGAGAGATACGTCATCGACTTATTAGACAAAAAAGTTCATTTATTCAAATAACCACCGCTAAGACAAACACATTTCGCGCAGCGCTTCGGCCTTCGGGAGAGCCCTCAAAGTCTCCATAATCAATTGGGTTTTGGACCCATTCCACGTCCAAGACGGCTGCTTTAGTCTCCCTGCAGTCAGTGAAGCTGCCACTGCTAATTTCCTTATGTTGGGGAAGAGGTGGCAACCAGAGGGTGCAGGGTTCGGAAAAAAGTGGATGCGACAACAACTCGAAGCCACATTTCATCACTTAACTTATCGTCACCCCGCGCAAGTACGCAGGTGCGTGGCCGTGGATCAGTTGCACACTTTATGTCAGCTTCCCTATAGCCTCTCCTCGATGTCTATCGAATGGACGCACATCATCAATTGTGCGCCCCTGTTTTAGAAAGTTGACAAGCAGAGCCCCGTCGGCATACCAAAATGTAACCACTATCACTTTGCCGACTAACTTCAACTCGTACCACTCATTTGGTGGCCGTTACTCGGTGTGCACTGTGCTTCCACTTGCGCAACTCGGCACGGTGTCCCTTAGTGTCAACGTGTGACGCCCACAATTCCTTTACGGTGACAAGTCAATGATATCTTCTAGATATTCGATAAGGGGTCAAACACCCCGCTAAGCCTCCTTTCGAGCTTGCCTTTTCTCAGCAGTGTCAGCAAACGGGGGATACATCTTGCAGAGATATTAAACATAGCATGATAGATTCCAGTGGCGTAGCCAAGTGGGCCCATCGGGTCCAGGGGGCCCTTCGGGTCCCTGCGGCGCCAATCGGCCGCTGAGGGTCCACGCTGGCCATATTTCGTCTCAAAGGGACCCCACAGGGCTCGTCAGAGCATCTCATGGGCCCCTAAGTGGCGTATTAAGATCTTCGTAAGTGCCCCACGCCGGCTTCTTAGAGCCCTTGTCACCAGTTAAGGCCCTAAGAGGCCGCCAAGGGCCCCTTACCAGCCTGCCCCTCACGGTCTCTGAGAATCTCTTGCTGGCCTCTGCGGGCCCATTGGTGGCCTTGGCTCTGAGGGCGCATTGGTGGCCTCGGCTCTGAGGGCCTATTGGTGGCCTCTGAGGGCCCTTACCGGCCTATTAGGAGCCGGCTCTACGAGCTGCATGCCCGCCTGTGATGGTCCAACACCAATTCTCTTAGGGCCCCAATAACTGTGAGGAGTGCCTCTGATAGCCCACACCGGCGTTTCTGAGAGCCCACGCCGGCGTTTCTGAGGCCCCTTCTCCCCCAGTTCTGAGGGTCTTCATCAGAGGCTCCTAAGGCCCTACACCAGCGACTCTGACGGCTCCACTGAGTCCACACTGGTGACTCTGAGGGTCCCAGTGGCGTCTGAGAATACTATTCCGGTCTAAAGGGACCCCTCGGCGCTCCTGAAGGCACCACCGACCTCTGAGGTCCCCTTGTCGTCCTATGAAGGGCCCGCACCAGCACTCAGCTCAGCAGCTCTAAGGTCCCACGCATATCTGTGATGGCCATAAACCAGTGTATCTGAGGGCCCCGAAACGGCGCTTAAGAGGGCTCTCACCGGCGACTGTGCAGGTCCCACTCCGGCGCCTCTGAAAGCCCCACACATATGCATCTGACGGACACCCACCAGTGACTTTTGCGTGGCCCACACCGGCAATTCTGAGGATCCCACCGGAGTCTGAGAGTACCGTGCCGTTCTCTAAGGACCCCACTGAACTTCTGAAGGTGCTGCCGGCCTCTGAAGACCCTTTGCCGGCCTGAGGAGTGAGGACACCTTGCCTTTCCCTAAGAATCCCCTGCCGGCTTGCGAAGGGTTCGCGACAGCAGCTCCTACGGCCCACAGGCCACACACATCTGTGACGAATGTACATATATGCTTATTTGCTTATCTGTTTATTTTGATTTTTTTTTACCAAGTAACAAAAGATTGGTAGAGCTCAGCGAACACTGGTAGGGCCCAAATAAACATTGGTAGGGCTCGGGCCCTACCAGGCCTATACAAAACCCTTCCCACCGCCACACCTGATGAAATGAACTCATATTTTGTCGACGTCGGCCCACGTGTCGCGGCTAGCCTGGCTGGCTCCGGGGTGCCGCCCGACGTTCCGTGCCGCCTGCCGCGTGTTGGTGCGTGTGGTTTTCGGGTCGCCGAGGTGACATTGGCGGAGCTGCGGGGGGTGGTGTTCTCGATGAAGCGTTCCGGTGCGTGTGGACCTGACGGCGTCTGTATTCGCATCCTGCTCCTTTCTTTCGAAGCCATTGGTCCCATCCTGCTCCATGTTGTCAATGCCTGTCTTTCCACCTGTGACTATCCCGATTCTTGGAAGCACTCCCTTGTCCATCCCATTTTCAAGTCCGGTGATCCTGATCTGATCTCCAACTACCGTCCTATTTCGATCGTCCCCACCATAGCCAAAGTTGTCGAGCGCCTAGTGCACCGACAACTTTCCGCCTACATGTGTGACAATCACCTCCTTTCCTCATCCCAACACGGTTTCCGTTCTCTCCATTCCACCGAAACCGCTCTGCTCTCTGTAACCAACCGCACTTTTTCCAACATGGACCGTGGTCTCATCTCCCTCCTCTGCCTTCTGGACCTCAGTAAATGCTTTGACGTCATTCCGCACTCACTGCTAATTTCCAAGCTCCAGCTCTATGGTATCCACCCGACCTGGTTTTCGTCCTACCTTACCGGTCATACTCAGTCTGTCTGCATCTCTTCTCCTTCCGGTGGCAGAGTGGTTTCGAAGCCCCTTCCTAACACCATTGGTGTCTTCCAAGGATCAGCCCTCGGTCCTCTGTTATTCACCATTTTCGCCAACGACCTCAGTCTGCACGCGCCGGGCGCTCATGTGACCCAGTACGCTGACGATACCCAAATCCTTATCTCCGATACCAAACAAAACCTTCCTAACCTTATCCAACGCATGGAGTCTACTCTCACCTCCTTGGCATCGTGGTTCCATGCCCACGGACTTAAACTCAACACATCCAAAACGGAAATCCTCCTCCTTGGCACCCGACAGAATACCAGAGATCTCCCTCCTGTCAGCGTACGGGTCGGTGGTGGGACCGTTCAGGAGAGCCCACATGTTAAAAACCTGGGGGTCATTTTTGACCGCCACCTTACGTGGGATGCCCATGTCAATGACGTGGTGCGCAGATGTGTCGGCCTCCTGATCGGTCTCCGCCACCTGAGGCGCCTCCTCCCGCGGCGGGCGCTTCTTACAATCGTGCAGGGCCTGGTCGTCTCGCGCGTGAGATATTGTCTGTCTGTGTACGGGAACGGCTCCGCGGCTAACGACTTAAGACTGTTAAAGGTTGTGAATTTTGCCACCAGAGTAGTAGCCGGTCTCCGCAGATACGATCATGTGTCTCGCGCGCGGGGCGACCTGGGCCTGCACACACCGCGCCAGATGTGTGACGCGCAGACTGCGATTGTGGCACACAGGGTGCGTGCCCTGGGGGAGCCCGAGGAGCTCGCCTCACTGTTCGTTTCATTCGCTGATGCACGACAGTGTGATCGTTCTACCAGACAGGACGGGGACCTGCGTCCGCCAGCCACCAGAACAGCGGCCGGGCGGCGAGGTTTTGCCTACCGAGCTGCATCGCTTTTAAACTCTCTACCTAATGATGTGACACGGCTCGAGCCATCAGCTTTTAAGCAGGCTGCAAAACGTATATTTTATTCGGAGTGAGTGTGCGTGGGTTTGGTGTTACTGGTGTGTGTATGTGTGGGTGTGAGTGTGTTGCTGAGCCAGACGATTGTTATGTTCTACCTTGTACCATTTTCACTA